TATATATATTTATATCGGCATATCTGTATATCTGAGTATCTGAGTAGCTGTATATCTGTATACGGATATATATGGTACGTATTTTTATTTGGTAGGTTAAAGTTACCGATATGTGTACATACGTTGCGTCCACCCACAGCAATTTAATAAACTTGTTCCTTGATTTATGCCATGCTAACATCAGCTTAATAAATGTTGAGGCAAAGTTTGTAGAACTCGCTCCAAACGCTACACAAATGCAAATGGGATTATTCTACGATTTCTTAAAGAAAAAGTGTAGTACGAGTTAATTGGTATTTCTCATGGTATCTACATGTAACGACTTAACTATCATATCCAGATCGTAGAGGTTATGCTAGATAAGTACAATACTATATTTGTGGACGAAGTTGACCTTTCCACATGTCTACCCGAGGTGCAAACGCTGCGTGACAGACTTGGAGACGGATTACGCACCGAAACAAAAAGTACTGGACAAAACTCACCGTCAAGCTCTAATGAAGATATACTGGATCATTGTTGCGCATCCCCTATGATGAGCGATGTGGCACCCCGTATAAAAAGTATGTATTTTATTATTTTTCTGCAATCAAGACATACGTGTAGCGTTGTGTTGTGATAAATATCATAGGTAGTGCCGGTATGATGTACGTATACCAAGTGCTTATAAATGGCCTTATTCCGTCACTTGAATATTAGCTTCGAAGTATTTTAATATATATGCCAGTGGGACGTCCTACTGTGATCTTATTTTATTTAAACGAGCACCACTGAATCATACTTCCGGCTGGACAGCTTAATGGCAAGCAGAGTGCATTGAATACAGTTTTACAAAAAGCCAAAACTTTTGTATCGCTTCTTTTTTTCTTGTCTGCCACTTCATATTTTCACAGCTGGAAGCTCAATTGTATACAGTCTATCCTTTCCAGGGCAATCGACGCTGAAACATACTGTTGGTTTAGCCCACCCATATGGACATCACTCACTTTATCTCAGCTAAACGACCTAATCGAATGCAGTCAATCGTATCCAGTTTAAACAAAGTAGTTATTTATATTTTGATCCATTTCACTCACATGGATAAAATACTGTCTTATTCACGCAGCCAAACGGCTCAATAGCATGCAGTGCATCGAATCAAGCTCAAACAAATCCGACACCGCCATGGAAGATACCGATACGAACCTATTCTCATCGCAGCTATCCCTAGGATCTGGGTATCGCGCTATCAAGGCTGAAAGCTTGGAGAGCCTCTTCATTGCGTCGCTGAGTGCATACGACTCTGCGGCTGTCAATGCTCAGCGGATTAAGGAAGGCCTCCCAGTGGAAATAGACACCACTGGCTGGTACGCAATCGCCGAGACCATCACAGACGACGAGCAGAATGACAAGGCAACTAGTGCCACAGAGCTCAATGAATCTACGACTGTTGATGTGCCTCAGGATCGTTTGCCCCAGGCTGATGTGGCACAACATGTGGTACCAGCTGTTGGTACAATGACATGTGCCAGTCCAGCAGACATCCCCGAGACCTACTTCGCCGCAGCTCCACCCAGACCCACAGCTGGTCCACCCAGACCCAAAACGGTACCCCGTAAGCCGCCGAGCACCAGCATCGTCGTGGCTCAAGGAAGTGATACTGTAGATGAGATCTCTTCGAGTAGTGATGTGATAAGTGTGTGGATGGGGGCCGAGGTAGATACCGGGATGGGCGCAAGCGACACACGAGTGCCATCTGCGACAAATACACAACAGCCTGGTACTGAAGAACAAGTAGACTACCATGGTACGTCAAGTGGAGACGACTTGACAGTCGACGCAGCAAACGAAAATAGACAGGAGCTGCATTCCGCAAGGAAAGACGAGGGAGAGGTGGAGATATGCGAGACTACAATCAGTGCGATAGATGATCGTGAGAGTCCACTGGAGACGTCCGACCCAGCGAATGTTGAAAATGAGTGCACTACAACGCTGCCGGATATGGATAGTACTACAGTTGCAATAGAGCACAAAGATGAGAACTCGATAGAATCAGAGACTAAGTCGAGCGCAAACACTACCGTGTCACCTACTGTAGCACAACCTCAGGCACCTCCCAGTGCAGTCACAGTGGCAGATATAGGTGTGAGCGACGCTGCGCCTATAGCCGCACCACGACCACGAACAACAAGCACGCACTCGCTGCACAGCGCACACTCAATAGCCGCCTCTGGAGCAGAAGGGAGGAGCACGACAAATACGGTCGAAGGCCCGCAGGCTGAGCCGATCGATCTAATGAAGGCGCTGAAACAGTGCGGCGACGATAGCTCGATGTCGGGTAGTGCGGTAGCCGAGTACATGATCCAGACCATGTCCAAGAAGTCCAGCGAGTGTGTGTGTCGTGACGTGAACCCACAGACAGAGCAACAGACACGCAGTGCGTGTAAGACAACAGAGGGTAGTTGTGTGAGCTCGGATTGTGCTGTGACACCTACAGTGGAGGAGGTAGCCGACGACGTCTTCCATGTAATTGAACAGCTGAGCGCGTTCAGTCCAACCTTGGCCACAGCGCCATCGGACGCGTAGCTTGTCCAGACGTCAGCGCGTTTTTATTCATTGGACCTTGTACAGCACACTACAACTTGTGAAATAAAACTTGCACTTTAGACCCGCCCGCGTACTCAAAAAAAATAATTCGGTCTTCACTGACCGGCCGATTTGTTTCAGAGCTTAGGCTCAAGTATCACTGCCAATGCCACTAGTATGATCCTAAGTCAACCCCGATACCAGTCTAGTCATGTACATCGTGACGGTTCGATGTAGAACAAGTCCGACCTGCGTATTGCGGCAATCTAATTCAATCTAATATGCAATACTTCATTGGAGTAATTGCATTCCACGAGTCACAATCTCCAAAGTATAGAACGAGGTGGAGGTCCAGGACTGATCGTTTTGCCCATAGTCAATTCCTCAACGATTTTATGACTCTGGCCGGGTGTCGTCGTCATCAATTGAGACCGCGCGTGTATGTCCAATACAAATTGCGTCTCTTGACACCGAGACAGGATTCGTTGCTACACTTACCGAATAGTCGTAGCCTCGTACATTCGCGAACCGCGCGAACCGCGTAATTTCACCATACATCGCCTTCTACAAGCAAGCGACAAGGTGAGAATTGGATATTGTCTCGTGGATTTTTTGTTTCTACTAACCGACCGTGTTAGCAGGAGGTCTACAAACATTTGTAGTCCGCGCTCGTATTACCAATTAGGAGCACAAGGTGGCTTCTTCTTATCCACTTCTCAAATGCAGTATTCAAGCCTGTCGCTAAGACAAACACATCGAACTTGAATCTGAGTGCTTAGTGGTATAATTTCCAACTAAACGTCTCACTCAACCCCAACGATTTGTTCGAGTGCCACTTCGGCGCCCTCGGTGGCTAGACCGCCGTCCAGATGCATCGACATGAGCAGCACTGTATCACTCATCCAGACATCAAGCACACGCTGAAGTTCCTCATTGAATAGCTCCTCCCACGTGTCGCGCGTCTCTCTGAGCCCTTCTCTCATTTCCTGCTCAAAACTTTCTCGCTGAAGAAGTTCTACCCCTGCATTGATAGAGTAATCAGCTCCTAGTCCCATCACGGCGCCTGCTACCGCACCCAGGGGACCTGAATATATAGACAGATGGACAGGTGCTTGAGTATAGTTTTATTGGCTCTAAGATTGCGAGTTATCATAGTCCTGTGTCAGAACAGCGAAATCGGACGAATGGCAACACACTGCACTCAGCTATTTTCCGATATTGTTGCAGTACAAAGTTGTAGCTGGAAACTGCAAAATCCGATTTCGCTCAATCAACTGTGTAAAACAATATTCGTGCGTAGTCAATGCATTCGATTTCCCTTCGACAGGGTTGCAAATATTCGAAGATCGAACAATAGAATTATATCCAACATACCAGCGAGCAACCCGGCCGCTGCAGTGCCTCCTGCGACCGATCCAGCGGACACTGCTTTGGTCGCAAACGGTGCTGCGAGTTTCCCTAGAAACCCTGTCATAGGTGGATGATTGTACATTAAGGCTGGATTTCACGCATATATGGCCGCAGTTTCCACACAGGCTAACTCGTAAAAATTCAAAAATTTATAATACATTTGTAGCTGACTCGTAGCAAATAGCCTTTTCTCGCATCCTGGTCTATAACGCAGACCGTGGTAATACACGCACATTATAAACATTCACATTCGCACTTCACAGCATACCAATAAATTCATACTACACGATTACACCAGAAGCCCTTTGACACAACCGTGTGTACCTTTTGTCGCCGCCCCTGTGCCCGCTTTGCCTAGGCCTATACTAGCGCCCTTGAGGCCGGCCAGACCTCCCGCTTTCCCAACAGCCGCCCCACCCACCATCAGCGCCGCCCCTACGCCAGCACCTTCAGGCCCCTTCTCGTGCCCGGCTACTACGCTGTGTAGAAGATAGTACAGCGAATATGTAAGCATTGCAGTAGTCTCACTGACTGCGACTTTATCCAAGCTCTAGCCAAGTATAAATGAGAATAGATAGGGCGATGCGCTGCGTTATTGCTAATTCATTGAAATATGGTGATATTGGACGAGGGTCGATGAAGAATGTATATATTGTTGTTACATACTCATCGTACCAATAAAATTAGCCTCCATTGACGTAGCCAGCCCTGATCAACATTTCGTGTTTGACAGAGTTCGACGTACCTGTTGATTTTATTGAGCTGTGATGCCCAATCCACGTCCATAGTGATATTTTCCATAGCTAGTGGTTCGGTGTGTGTAGTTTCACTCTCAACAGAATTTCGAAACGCATCATCTTCTTCGTCAAGTATTCGATGGTACTCTCGTTGCATGTGCTATTCTTGAGAAGGTGGTGATTGTATGTATCGAAATATGCGAGATAGGAAGGTAAAAACTTATTATTTAAAATTTGTGTGAATTGAATTGGCGTAAAAAGGCTCGGATTATCATACATTGCACCTGATTCAAGTACTAGAATTGGATTATATAATGGGAGCCTCTATATTAAATTGGTCTGCTTTTGATTTAACTAAATTGCAATAGACATTATAGGTTGATTATATTGAATTGCACTTCATTGGATTGGATTGGAATGTATTGGATAGGATAGGATTCGATTAAAACGGATTCAATTGGTTTGGATCGAAATATACTGGAACAAATAAGGTGGAGAACTGAATTGGATTGTATTGAATTGAATTAAATTGATTTGATTTGATTTGATTTGATGTGATTCAATTTGCCTTGAATTGCGTTGAACTGCGTTGTACTGGATTAAGTTGAACTGGAAATGATTGAGTTGAAAAGAAAGGAACTGGCACCGACATCAAGAAAACTCAACTTTTGCAACCATGTATCTGCTGCATAATACCTGAAAGGATGCTAGGAAGGCTCGCTCGAGCTTCCTATCATTAAGTTCAGGTCGCAGAACGATAAGTTCGTACTTCTTCTGTATATATTTTACAACGTCTAGTGCTACTGCGTCTCCCATTGTATAGCCTATCGGATATTGCAAAAGAAAAAGTCAATTAGTTATGGTGGATAGAATAAGTAGAAAGCAATAGTAGGGTTCCACTCAAATGGAACGCAGGGGACCAAAATAGTTGCTCAGTAACGCACAACCAACCGCGTACCATTTGACAATACACAAACCTCGCTAAGCTACATCTATGTGCAGTATTCTGTCAAATTAGGCAAGTATAAGAGATACGTTAGCAAGGCCAAGTTGATTCGCATCAGATCAGTACCTTCGGGCTGGCTGCGGAATATATTTCGGGCCACAGAAGCCGACGCCGTACTCAGGAGCTTGTACGTGGTGGGGTACGAGAAGTACTGCGATAGCGTAAGAAGTGGAGAAGTGGGAATTAAATACGCTTGTCACTTTACAGCCTCAGGTCCGTGGATTTTTGATCTGTACTTGCTCTATCGACCTATCATCAGCATGAAGGTCGCAAGCTGAGACACTATTATTTACTTTGTGGTTTGAGAGCGTGCGCATAGAGTCACGTTATACAAGCAAGCAGAAATTGGCGCACGAGAACAAAATCACCCACCCAGTCAGCAAATTTGCCTATTCTATCTTCGATGTTTTCAAAAACACCATTGACATTCTTCTTCACGTCGGCCGCGGTAGATGATCTGATCTCCGCCCGCCTGTTCTCTAGATGTCTTAACTGTGAGAATATTTGGGAAAATAGTGTAAGAGAGAGATATGGAAAATAACAGTACCTCCTCGGGTGTCCAGTATTATCCTTGAATAGAAACTGGAATACGAGAAATTATCAGGAAGCAAATACCACTGTAACATATAACCAATTTACCCTGAAGGCCACCTACAAATTCAGAAATCAGGAAAGTAAAATATTGTCACCCCGAAGCTTAATACAGGCATTCGCCAAATTCATATCCCACCATCAGACAGGTAGACAACTTACTCTTTCTCGCATCAGAGATGTTGCTGCAGATTTTGGTAATATTGAGCTTTCTACATGCCCTTCTGAGGATCTAAACCAGACACGAGTTTTCGGTTCAACCTGTAAACAAATAATAAAATGGGTGGCCGTGGGAAGGTGTAACCGATGCGCATACAGCACCAACCGATTCAAAAAAGTGTTCGCAGCTTGTGCATTTTCTCTGCGGGTCTATAAGAGAAAACCCCATGTTTTCATACATTAAACATAACATATACGTCAGTTGCTCGCCTAACGATAAACGTTTAGTTACATACACTTTGTCTACAAAGAAATTAAAAAGAAGTGTGCAACCAGTAGAAATGTCTATACCTGTCGCTCGATCTTAATTCCAGGTTTCGTAGTGTCTTTATGCGCTTTTGTATCAAACTCTTTCTTTCTCAGCACCATGTCATAATTGTGGCGGGACCAATACGTGAGCCCGAGCGCACCCCCGCCTGCAAGGGTGAGCGTCCGTATTGCCGCAAATAGGCCTCTTCCACTACACATCGGAATGAAAGGCGTGATGAGATGCATAACTTGCGATAGCTTTATATTCAATATATATGTATATATATATATAAGCCTCTTCCACTACACATCGGAATGAAAGGCGTGATGAGAGGTATAACTTGCGATAGATTTTTATTC